CAACCATGATAGCAAGGATGGGCAACCTTCCCAAGGGTACCCTTGCATCCTCGCCTCCTCGGCCCATCCTTCGCCGCTTTCGCTGGCCGCGCCCCGCTCGAAGAGCTTTGAAATGGGCGTCCAAGGCCCTTGCATCAAGGACTCCCACGAGGGCGCGAAGTTATTCGTGCTTCGCGCTTCGCGGTCCTCGTTCCTTCTCCCCCTCCTCCTCGTCCTCCTTTTCTCCCTTGTGGGGGGCGGCGCGAGAGCGCGAAGTTATTCGCGCTTCACCTCCTCGCGCAGCGCGAAGCGCGAAGTTGGGAGCCCTAGTTGCATCCTTATCGCGCATCTTTACCATACTGGTTGACTGCAGTTTTTAGTCGGGCCTGTCCCTGTACAGGGGAAATCTTCAAGCATAGTCAAAATAGTCAGGGGACTATTTTTTGAGCATTTGTTTGGCTATTTTGAAGTAGTTTTTGGGTACTCTTTGTTTTTCGTCGAGAATCCCCCAAAGCGCAGGGGCGCTCCGGGCGAGAGCGGCATCCCGGGAGCAGCTCGCTCTCCGTCCGTGCAGCTCCGCGAGCAGCCTCGGGCCCGCGGGGCCAGCGGGCGCGGCGGGGCTGCCGGCGAAGCGTCTCGGCCGCCCAGTGTTCGGTGCGCTCGGCGGTGCGGCGGGGCGGGAGCGCGGAGGGTCAGAGGCGACGACGGGGGCGAATAGCCCAGGGGAGAGCAGCACATGTATTCAGGTGTGCCGATCATCTATGTCTTCGACAAGGCTCCCGGGCGAATGCGTGTGATGCCCGCCCCTGGGCTATTCGCCCTTATCGTCGCCGCCGTGAGGGAGGAGGAGGGGGCCGCAGGAGGGAGAGACAGAGAGGGAGAGGAGCGGGTGGAGGACGAGGAGGAGGAGGAGCAGGAGAAGGAACGGTAGGGCCGGGAGGACGAGCACGACGAGCAGGGAGACAATGAGGGTGCTGATGATGACGACGATCGTGCTTGTGATGCTAATGATGATGATGACGCCAACGGCGACAGGGACCATTGTGACGATGCTGTCGTTGATGTCGACGACGGTCACAGTGCTGATGACGAAGATGGTGATCCGTTGTTGATGACGATGATGTTGCCGAGGATGGTTCTGACGATGATGATACTGCTAATGATGATGACGATGATGATGCTGCTGCTGATGATGATGTAGCTGATGCTATTGATGATGATGATGATGATGTTGATGATGTTGATGCTGATGCTGTTGCGGTTGTTGTTTTGTTTTGGTTGCTGTTGATGATGATGATGACGAGTTTGATGATGATGCTGATGATGATGATGATGCTGATCATTCTGATGATGCTGATGATGCTGATTCTGATGCTGCTGATGCTGCTGCTGATGATGCTGATGCTGATGATGCTGATGATGATGATGGTGGTGATGGTGGTGGCTGTGGTGGTGATGATGATGCTCATGATAATGATACTGATGACGAAGATGCGGTTGCTGAAGCTGTTGGTGATGACGAGTGTGATTGCGAGGATGATGGTGCTGCTGATGATGACGCTGATGATGATGGCTATGATGGCGAGTAAGATGACACAGACGACGACAACGGCGGTCGTGATGTCGGTGAGAACGATAATGATGCTGCTGCTGATGAGTATGAGTGCGATGATGATGTGGATGATGATGATAATGAGGATGACGATGATTATGTTGATGATGAGGATGAGGATGAGGATGAGGATGAGGATTGTGATGATGATGAGGATGAGGATGAGGATTGTGATGATAATGATGTTGATGATGCTGATGCTGATGCTGATGCTGATGCTGATGCTGATGATGATGATGCTGACGATGACGATGACGATGACGATGATGATGATTATGAGGATGATGATGAGGATGAGGATGAGGATGAGGATGAGGATGAGATGATGATGATGATGAGGATGATGATGATGATGATGATGATGATGATGATGATGATGATGATGATGATGATGATGATGATGATGATGATGATGATGATGAGCAGGAGGAGGAGGAGGAGAAGCAGGAGAAGGAGGCGGAGGAGGAGGAGGAGGAGGAGGAGGAGGTGAGGAGGAGGAGGAGGAGGAGGAGGAAGCGGAGGAGGAGGGCCCCCCGCCCACACTTTTTGGGGTCGCGGCTACGCGCGCGGCGGCGCGGCCAAGCGAACTTGCGCACCGACCCGGCTCACGGGGCGAGGAGAAGGTGGATCCACCCATAGGTGATCGACAGCCGTGAGGGGACAGCCGTGAGGGGACAGACGGCGTTGGGGAGAGGACTGGTTGTGGGTTTGGGTGCGGGTTGTCGGACCCTGGGACGTTCCCGTTCGAGCGGGGACCCCCGTCCAACAACACGCACTCATAGCCCTCTCCTACCCCCCTATGGGTATGGGTGTGTGTTGTTCGTTCGTCAAGGAAGACGAGGCAGTGCGCCGGTGCCGAGCGGAAGCAGCAAGCGAGGCGCGGCGGGGAGGCGGCGACGGCAGCCAGCCCCCGCGCCCTCACACAGGGCCCCGCCGCTCCGGGCCTCGACGCGGCACAGCGCCATAGGGTGCCCCCCCCCCGCGCCGGGAGAGGTCGGCGGTGCGACGGGGCCGCCGCCGCCGTCGCGTCATCGTCGTTGTCGCCGCCGTCGTCGTCATCGTCGTCGTCGTCGTCGCCAAAGAGGGATGATGATGAGGATGATGATGGTAATGATGACGATGATGATGATACATATGATGATGATGATGATGATGATGATGATGATGATGATAATGATGATGATGATGATGATGCTGATGCTGATGCTGATGCTGATGCTGATGCTGATGCTGATGCTGATGCTGCTGCTGATGATGATACATATGATGATGCTGATGATGATGATGATGATGATGTGATGATGATGTGATGATGATGTGATGATGCTGATGATGATTATGATGATGACTATGATGATGATGATGATGATGATGATGATGATGATGATGCTGATGATAACGAGGATGAGGATGAGGAGGAGGATGAGGACGAGGATGATGATGATGATGACGATGATGATGAGGATGATAATGAGGATTGTGGTGATGATGATGATGATGATGATGATGATGATGATTCTGATGATGATGCTGATGATGATTATGATGCTGATGCTGATCCTGATGATGATGATGATGATGATGATGATGATGATGATGATGATGATGATGATGATGATGATGATGATGATGATGATGATGATGATGATGATGATGATGATGATGATGATGATGATGATGATGATGAGGATGAGGAGGAGGAGGAGGAGGAGGAGGAGGAGGAGGAGGAGGAGGAGGAGAGGAGGAGAGGATGGTCGTATGGAGGAGGAGGTGGAGGTGGAGAAGGAGGAGGTGGAGGAGGAGGATGAGGAGGAGGAGAAGCAGCAGGAGGATAGGAGGCCCTTGCGCTTTCGATCTCCCTACTCGCGCGTTGGGCCGGCGCTTGGCGCGTTGCCATAGCATTGGCGGCGCGCGGTTGCTTCGCAAGTAGCGTTGCTGGCCATCGCGACCTCGCTACGGATTTGCTCACCTGGCCGCAAAGCCGCGATCCAGCCTGCCACCGCAGGCGGCGTGCTCCCCGCTCCCAGGACAGGCTGCTGGTACAATCAGTGGCAGCAGGCGCACGCTTGGGCCAGCACCGCGGCTGCATGCTCCCAAATCAGCCAATCATGAAGACTCCGAGATCGAGGCCGCAACATCGTGGAACTGTGCCCGCGGCAAGACCATTGACGGCATCCGCCAGCTAAACTGCGGCGGTTGTGTTGCCAAGTGGAGGGCGAAGGCGGCGAGTCGTGGCAGGTCACTGGCCCGCCGGCCGCGCAAGCATGACTGGACATGCCGACCCCCGCGAGAGCATAGCCTGAGCCATCTGCGCCCCTATCGCCGCCATGAATCAGGAGGGCCAAAACACACAGACACAATTAACCGTCGATTCCCCAGAAACTATGGGAAAATATGGGAAGTGGGGGGAAGACAAAAACAAAGCAAATATACGAAAATATGGGGAGTCCTGTGATCTGTGTTTATTCCCAACTTTCCTGCGGTGTTGGGTATTCGTTTTGAATAGAGCAGTGTGGTCTCCTCCTCCTCTCCTCCTCCTCTCCTCCTCTCCTCCTTCTCTCCTGTTTCCTGTGTTCCCTTCTCCTCTTCTCTCGTGCCGTCTGCGATCTGCGCCTCTGTCGCCACTTTCGTGGGCTCCTGGGAGGCCCAGGGTCCCACGCGGACCACCTCGGGACCTCGCCGCCCCCTGGAGGGCTTTGCGATCAGCGCAACCGTCGCCACTTTCGTGGGCTCCTGGGAGGCCCAGCGGAGGTGGGTCCAACGCGGACCACCTCGGGACCTCGCCGCTCCCTGGGGGGCTTGCGATCTGCGCAACCGTCGCCACTTTCGTGGGCTCTTGGGAGGCCCAGTGGAGGTGGGTCCCACGCGGACCACCTCGGGACCTCGCCGCTCCTGGGGGGGCTTGCGATCTGCGCAACTGTCGCCACTTTCGTGGGCTCCTGGGAGGCCCAGCGGAGGTGGGTCCCACGCGGACCACCTCGGGACCTCGCCGCCCCCTGGGGGGCTTGCGATCTGCGCAATTGTCGCAACTTTCGTGGGCTCCTGGGAGGCCTAGCGAAGGTGGGTCCCACGCGGACCACCTCGGGACCTCGCCGCTCCTGGGGGGGGCTTGCGATCTGCGCAACCGTCGCCACTTTCGTGGGCTCCTGGGAGGCCCAGCGGATGTACGTCATACGCGGACCACCTCGGGACCTCGCCGCCCCTTGGGGTGTCGATCGAGGACCCGCTCGGATCGCATCGTCGATCGCTCTTTTCCGGGGCGCCCTGGCTCAAGGGCCCTAAACGGCGGCGGAGACGCAGGGATGGATTGGGGACAAGGAGAGACGAGGCGAGAAGGATGAAGCCGGAGGTGAGACAGCTAAATAGTGGAAGGCTGGACGGTTGACAACCTCACCAATATTTTTTTGTTCTTGTACGAGAGAGAAAAGGCAGCTAGGAAAGGGAGGTCGAAAGGGAGGTCTTAGTTCAGTTCAGGAAGGGGCTGTTTTTGCAGCCTTCTGCGCTTCCGCCTTCGCCTGTTTCTTTGCCGTCGGGTTGTCAGAGCGCTTCCTGCGCTTGGCCTGGTTCGGGGGCTTGAGCTTCAGGTTCCGGTCTGTGGAAAGCTTCAGCTTCGGGTAGTCCGTGGTCTCCGAGAAGAGTCGGTTCCAGTCCTTCGCCTCCCTGTCGGAGGCTGTTCGGGAGGCACGATTATCTTCGCGCCCGCTCGGGGTGCTCCCCTTGTCGTTGCCGTCGCAGCTGAGGGTCTCGGCGTCACTGTCACAGCTGAGAGATGGACACACATCGACCCGCGAAGGGCCCAGCTTTGCCTCTCCCGCAGGAGCCCGACTTGAAGAAGGAGGGTCTACCTCTGCAGGCGAGCCGGGAGAATTGGGAGAGCGGTCTGGGCTCAGATCTCGCTCTTCCATGGCCCTCTCTGCTTCCTCAAGCCTGATCTGGGCACGTTTTCTCTTGGATCTCTCGCGGTCCCGGAATAGGCGGGAAGACATCCAGTGTCCACAACGACCAACATGTCGGCGGTACAACACATTATGATGCTTCTGCTCACGACGCACGCCAGCTTCCCGAAGCTGCTTGTCCTTCTGCTGGCTCAAGCTTTAAACTGGCTCAGTCCGAAGTGGCTCAAACGGGGGGCGGTGGGCCCGCCGCCGCGCCCGCCGCCGCGCGCCCGGGGGGCGGTGGGCCGCGCGCCCGGGGGGCGGTGGGCCGCGCGCTTGCGATCGCGGGTAAACCGAGGTATCTCCGGTTCCTGCCATCGCGAGCGTAGCCATGGATGGCCGCTGCCGCGTTTGCGCGGCCCGGGGCGTCGTCGGCCCCGCCATGCCAGGCGGGGACGTCTGCGCTGCGCACCAGCATTTCGCCCAGGACCTAGGCGGGGCGGCAGCGGCAGCCCCCGCCGCCGCCGCAGTCGCGGACTCGAACATGGACGACGGGGAGTCGGGCCTTACTCAGGCCGCTGCGGCCTTGCAGGTGGCCGGAGCTCCCGGGCCACCCGGGCTTGCCCCGTCCGTTGCTGCCGGAGCGCCAGGCGTGGCACTGGCGGTCGCAGGACCAGGCTCGGCACATAGGCAGGGAGAGGACGTCAGCAGCATCGAGAGCATCGACAGCGACATCGACGACGTCGACGACACTGCGACCCGGTCCCCCACCCTGTGGCTCCCCGACACGCTGATGGCGCAGTTGGTGGAGTCCGTGGTTTTGCAGCAGTTCGACGTGGTGTAGGTGTCGACGGCCATCGGCGCCAAGAAGATTGGCCTCGCGCCCCGCTCTGCGCTTGCCGGATGGTTGGCGCTGGAGGCAGCCCTCAATGGGTTGGCGTTCCGTCCTTCGGCGACCGATGTATGGCTCCGCCTGGGCCTATCCCCCATGGAAGGTCCGGTACCAACGGCGGCGTTCGTCGAGCAGTGTAGTGAGATGGCCCGCCTGCTCTAGTCGGTCTCCAGCCATCCTGGCTGGCCACGGGACGATGCAGCATCTGCTCGCACAGCGCTGGTGGCCATTGAGGCGGCGCGGGAAATCTGTCTTCGAGACCTCCCAGCATTCGTCCGCCGCCGCTCGCAGCAAGGTCAGTGCCTGGTGCCTCGGTGGGGAGAGCTTGGCGGCGAGGCGCGGCAGATCCTTCTTCAGGAGCCGCTCGCCCCGAACGAGCGCATCTTCACGCAGATTTCGGACCTGGAGGGCGCCGCCGCCTCGCTCCCGGAGTGCTTTGCCGCCCCCGCCATGGCGCGTACCTTTACGGGGCAGCTGTACGCGCGGGCTTCGAGGCGCTTACCCAGGCCAACATCGCGGCTGCTACGACGTGGTGCCCGCAGGAGGCCTCGGCTGTAGGCCGCCTGATGGGTGCGTTTCTCCGCCATGTGTCGAGTGCCCCTGCGCCGGTCATCGTGAGGCTGGTCGCGGTGCTGGACGCGCCTGCAGGGTGCTCCAGCGCGGTCTCACTATCTGACTTGTGGCCGCACCCTTCACTCAGCGGGAAGTGGCCCTCGATCGTGCGCAACGTGCGATTCACGGACCGCCCCATGGAGGTTGTCCTGGGCGCCGGGGCCACACCGATTCAAGGGCAACGCACGTTGATGTTGGTGACGTTGGCTCCGACGGCCGCGCCCGCCATCCCAGCGGTGATCAGCTCGGCTCGGGTTCTCTTCCGCTTGGGCCACAGCCGCGGCATCTGCGTGGATTGTCTCTTCGAGGGTGTCCCCCGCGTGCGGCGAATGCTGCGCGCGGCGCTGGGGCACCTTCTGGTGCGCTGGGCTGACCCAGGCCGCAGACTGGGCACATCCCCAGCGGCGCGGCGGGCCTTGCTCCGCGCATTCTCTCCGGCCGCGGCGGTGACCGCGTTGGACGTGAGGGCGATGGTCCACCAGTTGCGCACCCTGAGCCTCCCCGCCAGCGCGTTGATCGCAGGGGGCGACATCTTCGGCGATGGCGCTGCGCTCCTGCTGGAGATGTCTTCGCCGCTGGCTGCGCCATTGATGAGCTCGCCCTGTGATTAGATGGCCTTCGTCGGGCCGAAGCGCTTCCTCGCATCCCCGGATATGTGGGGGACGGTACTGGAGCAGGCTTTCGCTGAGGGTCCCGATTGCCGCGCCCTTCGATTGCGATGGCGCCCCTCCCGCCTTGGAGGCTGGGGTTCTCACCCAGCCTGCAGCTGCGCGGCGTCAACTGGATGCTTGTGCGCGTGAAGCTGCGCGCGCGGCGGTGCCGCCGGGGGCCGCGGTGCCGAGGCAGGTGCGCATCCAGACCGGCGCGCCCGTGCGGAATGATGGAGCGAGCTGCCGTGGCGCATGGCCTCCTGGCCCATTTGGCAGCGCAGGGCCTCAGTTTCGCGCCAGCTGCAGAGGCGGCGCCGCTGCAGCCAGGGCAGCGGGCAGCGCTCCAGGACCAGCTCGGGGCCTCCGTGGATGGCCGCCTACGCCTCGCCGTGGGCACCGAGGCTCAGGCGCGGCGGGTTTTGGAGCTCCTGCGCGAGAAGGCCATCGCCATCGGCAGCGAGGTCATCACCGTAACCGCGTCGGAGGACAGCATCTTGCCAGCGCGCTTCGAAAAACTCCCGACGGGGGGGCCGCAGGGGCGCGGCGCCCCCGACGGCAGCCCCGGCTTGAAGCGGCAGCGGGGCAGCACGCCTGGGGCTTCGAGAGCGCCGCCTTCCGAATTCGCTCCTCCAGGAGCTGTGCGCGAAGGTGGTCACCGATCTTCGTCTTCTTCGTCCTTTCTTGTATCCCCGGTTTTACTGCTGTTCCACATGCTTGTGCTGCGCTCGCTTCGGGGCTCCCGGCGCCGCCGGCGGCGCCCCCGCTGCCTCCGGCGCGCCCGGCGCCCCACTTCCGAGGAAGGAAGCGGCCGCGCCCCCCGGAGACCCCCCCAGGGTCTCGTTGGAGGCCACGGGGCTGGCTGATGCAATCCCGTTGCGCGGCGTGTCCCAGGCGGCTCCCGTTCGCAGCATCGCTGGGCCGTTCGTCGGCGACTACCGCGGGGCGGCATGGCATGCGCAAGGCCTCTTCGCATCCAGGGCGAGGTCGCACTGGCAGAAGCGTCGCCACCTCGTCAAGCTCCTGCGGCATGCAGACTTCGTGATGCTGTCAGAGACACACGGGACGGCTGGCAGCCAGGCGGCATTTTCGGACATCGAGGGCACCGGGGCTTTTTGGTCGGCAGGGACTGCCTCGCGCGCTGGCGTCGGCATTGTGGTGCGGACAGAGTTCTTGCGCCGCTTCGCTCTGGTGGGGCCTGACTGGCAGGAGTTGGTACCTGGGCGCCTTGGTCGGCTTGCTCTTCGGGGAGCTGACGGTGCCCTGGATTTGCTCGCTGTGTACTTTCCCACTGGGGCGCGCAGACCCCTGCGTGCGGCGCCCGCGCGTGCGGTCGAGGAAAGCGGGGAGTCGTTACGACAGCAGCGCGTGCGGCTTGCGGCACGCGCGCGCCACTCCCTTCAGCCTTCACAGGTTCTCTCCGTGGTCGCGGGGGACTCAAACTTTGTCCCTGCGCACGAGGGCCGCTTGAGTAAGGGGACGGGGCAGTTTACAGGGGCTCCGACGCCAGCGAGGCGGCGCGCTGGAAGTTGTTATTTGACGCTGCCGCCGGTCTGCATGAGCTGTGGCAGCCAGATGCTACTCGCGACGGCCCCCGGTCACGCGGGCGTTTGGACCGCGTGTATGTTGCCCAGCCGGTATGTGACCAGTTCGATCGTCTTCCATTCTGCGCTGCCCTCGATTGGGTTCCACGGTTGTCGCGCCACCGCCCGATCGCTTTCGGCCGACTTTATGCGTCCGCCGCAACGGCCTGGGGAAGCTCCAATCCCAGAGGACGTTATTCGACATGCGGCTTTGCCAGTGCGGGGCTCGGCTGCGTTTCGCGAACACCTTCGCTCAGAGACTCCTCAAGGCCCACTCGGCCGCCTGGCAGTACTGAAGGCGGCCATTCGAATTAATATGCTCCTCTCCGCATCTTCTCTTTTGCCGCTGCCGCTGCCGTGCAGTACTTGTAGCATGTATTTGTAGAATTTATTGCCGGGGCCATCGCTGATCTATCGATGATGCATGCATCAGTACTGTCTGCAGCTATCTTCGTGAGTCAAGTGGAGAGAAGGTCTCCGCGCGCGCGCCACCCCTCGCCCTTCGGCCGGCCTGCCCGGCGCGTGCGCGCGTATTCGCATATTGCTTAATGGATTTTATTGCTGCCAAAGCCATGGCTTTCCCCAGTAGCTCTCTCCCTGAGCGCCCCCAGAAAAGATCTACGACCACGCATGGTGAAGCCCCAGGCTTAACTATTGAAGATCATGAGACCCATGTTCCTCTTACATCTAAGCACGATTCCCGGAGGAACGACAGGTTATCAGCCGAAACCAACGACCAAGTCGTTTTGGGTTTGATGAGCCAGGCTCAGGCAGTAGATTTGCTCGACGCATCACAATCATAATATCATGTTGAGCAACTTCGGAAAGGACGCGGCCTGAAGGGCCGCCCTTCTCCTCTCAATCTCTCGAATGTTCTTCAGGTTGATCTGTCTCTCGACGATTCCCCCGTATAGTGCGAAGTTAGAGGAGAGGGATCAGACGCCTGGGAGGCAGACCGGCCGAGCCGGCGCTGCGAGACGGAGGCCATTGTCGAGTTGGTCTTCCTCGCGTTTTGTGCCAGATGGCCCGCGAATTCTGAGGGGCAACGCCCCTGCGATTGATTTGTCTCACAACGATGCCCCTGGGCGTTCGTTGCTGGAGGATCGGGCCCAGGCCCCCGTGAGACAGACCGGCAAATCCGGCGCTGCCAGGCGCAGAGCCTTTGCATCTTGGTGCAACCCCACGCAGCCCGGCCAGTGGAGCCCCAGGGTCGCTGGCCCAGCCACTGGGGCCCACGACGAGGA